TGGTCATATGTTGAAATACCGAGACCAATTTCATTACTAACAACACACTTTAAAATATTTGAGGAAGTCACGTATAAAAGACTGATTTCTTAAACTCAAATAATGCCAGTCCTTTCCAGTTTTACGTATGAAATGATCTTAATAATAAAACGCATGTTAGTGGAATATCTCGTGATCTTTCGAAAGCATTTGATTGTGTGATTAATGAATTATTACTGTAGAAACTACATTTTTATGGAATTCAAAATGTAGCTGGTCAGTGGTTTAAATCGTATGACGTCGTCAGATTAAAATTATAGCACGTATTCAAATTGGGTCGTTATAAAACATGAAGTTCTTCAAGGTTAACTACTTGGCTCTGATTTCCTCATATATGTCAATGATTTACTGTCATCCACTAATTCTCAGACTAAACCCACCCTTTTTGCAAATTATATTAATATTATTATAATATTATAGTATCTCCTATCTCATTCCTTCTACTCCATAGAAGAATTTACCTCGACCAAACATTCTCGGCTATTATTAATACATGTAAGGAAATGTGGGTATGCTTTCTTGTTCAATTATTTTTGCTGTAATACTGCAGTTTATTATAAATTACTGTCAAAACTATGTAATTTATATCTGTATTAGAAATAGGTATTGTTTTTGAGGTATGACGTCTACATCCTTGGCTTGAGCCCACGAAGAATCTATGGAATGCAAATAATTCTGATATTGTTTTTGAGCTATGACATCTACATCCTTGGCTTGAGCCCATGAAGAATCTATGGAATGCAAATAATTCTGCTCTATCGTTCTGTATATGTTGTTCATATTATAGACTCGAGCCAACCATGTTTTAAAAATACTTAATAGTAGCTAAGATATATTTAGACATGCTACTCAGTGTATGTGTGAAAGCCAACATATTCTGGCGTTCTGTCTGGAGGTGTTAAAGAGATCCTACATGATACCGTTCTGTCTACAGAAAACCATATGGTTGATATCTTTCTGATTTATGTAACAGTCATCCAAAAAAATGGTTCTCAACCTAGTTACAGTTCAACTAAATAAATATAATAAGTATCATCTGTAAGTAATAACTTTTTCGCCTGTGAAGCACTTGATATGCAATACAATTGCTTGCTACGTACGAAGTGTTGCCTAAGAGTAATTTGTAGGAGACGTGTTCAATTCAGACATAGTAAACTGAGATGTGACGAAGTGATAATAAAGTTGGAATTTCGGTAATATTGACACGTTCGAAGGAAAACATAGGCGAAAACAAGAAAAATGGAAGAAATGTCAATGGAAGATGAACGCCTCGAAGAAAATAAATTACATTTTGTCGCTGCACTGAGTCCAAATGATGCGGGCCAACACCATCATGGTAAAATATACAATAAGGCGGACAAGACAAACAGCGTAATCGGCGCGGCCATGAGCTTGCTAAGTCATCTGATATTTGTCCTTTTTACAATATATATAACATATCTCTGTTTTGAAGACTACAGTTTATTTTCATGGCATCCTACATGTATGACAATTGGGGTGAGTGAATGGATGTAGTATATTTTCAATTCTACGCAATGGGGCAATAATAAAAGAATGGATAGTGTTGTGAATCTAACCTCACTTTGATGGAGAAGTGTAATTACACGAATTTCATACCACATGCACGAGTAATGTGGAATAATGTGGCATTTTATAGCTTTTAGTTGCTCAAACTATTATTGAGGTTATAATTTTCATAAATACATTGCTTATGTTTCATGAACAATATGAATTAAAATGGTATGTATGTCATCACGTGTCTTCAGCTTTTACGAGATTGGTAGCAATTTAAAAATAAAACCGAACAATGTCCGTATGATAGTAGGAGCAGGTAAAATTATAGATTTAAGTAATAACCTCACTATATTGCCACTTGATATAACCTAACTAAACGAGTCCAAATCTACTTTTGTGTCTGTGTGTGTCTGGATATTTGGTCTTTTGGCCATGATATGAACCAGAAAAGCCCCAAGTATGAAGCATGAGTGCTAAGAACTTGATGATGACATTCAGTTACAGAAGTAATCCTGCAATTCTGAATCATTATCATTCTCACTTTGCTTAAGAAACACAATATGTGACATTCTCTGTCTGCTAAGTGACTTGGTCCAAATTCAGCGGATGGTGTAGTCAGCATCTTTAATTGTCTCTTCCAGTCCCTCCTTTTAATGGCAGAGGCTGTGATGATCATGTCCAAGGACAACATAATTGCATCAAAACTTGGTCGACAAGCAAGAGTTCGACTGCACTGGATGTTACAAGCAGGTGCCGCAGCTTTTATATTTTCAGGCTTCTTAGTTATAGTAATCAATAAGAATATACACAATAAGAATCATTTTCAGTCATGGCATTCGATAATTGGGCTCGTATTTCTAGTCTTTGTCGGTTTTACCAGCAGTGGAGGAGTTATAACTTTATATTCTTTTAGATTGAAACAGTACTTAAAACCTGCTAAAATGAAACTCATTCACAATTTGATAGGAGTGTTGACATTTGTTATTGGTGTTGTTACTGAAATTTTTGGTATTTATACTCTTTGGTTTCCCAAACATGCTAGTTTATCGGCTCAGGTTGTGTGTACGGTGTTTGTTATACTGGGAGGTATATTTACTCTTGAAAGTGCTGTGAAATCAGCATATGAAAGGTTTAAAGCTCTGTATCAAAGTATTTGAATTATTTGTAGTTTGACTGTGGAGAGATTTTTTTTTTCCCAAGTGTTGTTTTCTGTGGTAAATTAGGCATTTAGACAGATTTATGTGTGATGGATGCTGTATTATTATACTAATTGATTTTGGCTACTAGATATTTTATTAAAAAAATAGAATTTCTTATTGCTTCTTTTTGGAAGTGGAACAGTTTTCAAAAGTAATGGTTTATGATAGAATCCTTGGTTACTGAACCTTTAGATTAATGGTTTTTGTAAGAATCTATGATAGAATCCTTGGGTTTCTGAGCCTTTAGATTAATGGTTTTTGTAAGAATTAGACTGTAATTGATACTCATGTTGTTGTTTGTGAGGGTGTAGTTGGTAATAATGTATATTTTGAAACCTGTGACAAAATATGGTAAATTTTGTGGAGTTACATACCAAATGGATAAAGAATTGTTATAGTAGACCCTCGTTATACCGCACCACATTATGTCCCTGAACTGAATGTACCGCGGGTACGGCCATGCCCCCAAGATGGTCATTAATGTTTTATTTCATAGAAATTGATGTGAAATATGTTTTTAGTTGTGACTGTACTTTCTTATTTGTCGCTGTAAGTTATTTAGTTGACTATACAGTGACTTTTTTGTTGTTGCATTAAGTATTCAGATGTAAGAGTCAAAGTCCTTTGACCAGTATGAAAATTAGATAAATGTTTTCACTTATAGTATGAGCGCTGAAGCTGTCCCATGACACCCGCGGTATGATGAGGGTCTACTGCATTTTTAGTAATTAAGTGGATTATAAAGAATTTTATGTAGATATTTGTTGCTTTTTTTTACAAGTAGTAATTTTATGTCTGAGTTATGTTGCTGTATATATTTCTGGTGGTAGAGCATTACTCTGGTATGTCATAATGTCCGACCCATTCTGAAACAAACGCGTATTATGTATATCAATCATTGTTCCTCCAGAATTTTGGTATACGGCCAAAAGACCACCTTCTGTGCCCACATCATCGTCATTATGAAAACCTCAAATCCTGCAACATTTTAAGGTTTTAAATGCACGTGACGTTATTGAACTTTAGAAAAACTGAGATGTGTTTCATGGCTGTACCATGTGGTTTACTAAAGTACTTGCATTTTATGGCATTTTTTTTTTGAGTTCCTTCTGATGTTTCATTCTAATAGTTGAAGTTTAGTTTTACTGTACATTTTATAATACCTTAGATTCCGGTTAATCAGGGCAGCCGTTTATTCGGGCCAAAGTATTCTAATCCCGATGCGTCCCAATTAACCGGATTCCACTGTCTTCCTGTTTGAGATTAAAATACTCTTTTATGTGAGTATTTTTATATTAATGAAGTTAGTATATCATAACTGCAAGATTGTTTTACTTAAAAAGTTAAGAGTTGATATAGTTTACGTAAAGAAAATTGTTGTAGACTTATTTTTCTTATTAGCGGAATAGGGTTTTGCAACGCTACTACCAAAAAAGTCAGTTTTATAATATGATAAGAAATAAAATTTACATTTTCAGAAATCTGTTGGATAAACTTTAAATGTGGTTTCCTTACTAAATCAATTATGTTTTCGCATGTTTCAGTCCCGTGTATCGCTGATTGTGGAAATGTTGAAAAACCCTGTTCTAAGACATCTGAACAAAATATCAATAGATAAATAAATAGATGTTAATTTTATATTTATAGTGTTTAACTTAATAACATGCATCATTAACATATTCACAAACAATTCTTCTGATGGGATTATTTTAATTATAATTTAATTAAAAGGTAGTATGTTATGATTAGCTAATATATTTGAGGTTTATGGCTTTAAATGTACGTAAACTAAGCTTTTTATTTTGAGCGCAGCAAGGTTAGAGATGAATACCCACACTTGAGAACTAGAATTGGTAAAATGTTGGGCTAGTGCCAGTTTTATGTACCACTTTGTTACATCAAATGATTATAATTTAAATGGGAATTGTACAACGCATTTTTCTAACACTGAATTTGTTGGTGTTTTGGTACCGCGCCATATTTTCTCCAGATACTATTCAGTAATATTTTGGTACGTTGAATTTATACAAATCTTAATAAATTATTTATTACCAAATAGAGGTTGAAAATTTAGATAAGAACCTAATTTTACTTAGTTCCTGATGTAGTTAACGGTGGCAGTCGTAGTCATAATATTGCATTAATGTTGTCTGAATTAGGGAGTAAGTGTTTTTTGCTTCAGTCACAGAAAACATTCCATGTTTATATCTCATGTTATTTGCTGTGGCATACTAACATGATAGGGCAGGAGTCCGTATGAAACTGATAGTTGTGCAGTTAGTAAAAAATTCCCTATCTTTTTACAGAACCCGAAGTATCCTTACCATGAGCACAAGAACCTGATACTGGACCATATTTTGAGCCAGATTAATTCAGTAATTGTTGCATAATTAGATGCAGTTGACTAACCATGATCATATTTGGGTCTTTGTCATACCCTTAAAATTAAACTAGCAAAAAATATTTCGTAGAGAAATGTCAGAATTTGAAGACATCTTACTTCGATAAATTTAACATACGCCTCAAGTACAACTGTTAAATTAGATGCTGTTCTCGTTTGATTAAATTCTCTGTCCGCCATTAATTTTAAAGTTCTGAGTAATTTTTTCTTCAGGAAAACGTGTTACCCACAGCAAAACAGTAGTGTGTAGTCATTAAATATATGATGCTAACGGTGAATTCTGTGCACTCTTGTACTTTTTGCTGTGCCAGTAATAATCATAATAATGCAAATCAAGCAATATATATATATATAATCTCCCTAAAGTACATATTGTTCACTTTCTAATAAGAATAATGTAATCATTACCAGAATTTACTTGGCTATTCTTCATCATCTTCAGTTTTAATTGAGTATCTTTTTCTTCATGTAAGTAGATAAATCTAACGCTCGATGGGTGAAAAACTGTTGCACAAATCTATTAGTTATAATGTGCATCGTTCAAGGAATATCACTGTTTGAATATGTACTTATTTTGTTTTAATGTCTTGGCTACCAGTTTTATTTTTTTTTTTCCGCGGCGTAACAGCGTACGTACTGTAAAACAGACATTCTCACCGAAGATGCTCCTGTATATACATACAGGATAGTGCAATTATTGAAGCCATAATACATATTGGTGATTGCCCAATTTTGATATAATCATAAGTATGTTTATGCATAATGTATGTTTGAAGTACCAAATCTTGCCTTAAGTCATAATTGAAAACTAAAGACTGTATCGTAAAATAGTTTAAATTTATTAAATACACCGAAATTTATATGTTACAATATTTTATATAGAAGAGAAATTGTATCACATTTTTAACTTTAGAACTGTCTGTTTATGAGATGGATTTATTTAAAAATGATATAATTTTAGATATTTTACATTACTGTTTTATGCTATATATGTAAGATAGAATGATTAAATATATAATGTGTTATATAACATTATCCAGGTGCATAACTGTAACCCTGTGTATCTTAATCCAGTTATCCTTGAGCAAACTAAGCTGTAAAGACTTCAACCTGTTTCTTTATCGAGAATGTTCTTCTCCGAGTCGTAGAATTGTCATGTGATTCGGCTATTGTGAACGTGGCAGTCGCTCTTCAGGGTCTATAGAAGGTAGGGAATTTGACTGGCAAAGCGTACTGTCTGCTTCTCAAGGACGACTCTGCTTTGTGGAGTTAGAAATTCATTTAGTCATACTTCCTCATAGAATTATTTATCAAACTGGAATGTTGCTAAAGCGTTGTTACCGTGTTTGTACACTAAACTATTACTTGTCATAATATGGAATATATATTTTAATTTTTCCCAGATGTTGCTCAGACACTGACCAAGTATGTTAAATAAATCACAAGCAGGAAAACAAAAAATGGAATTGGATGCAGGGATTTTCAGTGCTGAAACACACATCCTTACTTGGTGCATCTCATAATAGCCTGAGAACGTCCTGATCATCCGTCGCTCAAAACTTGTAAGTATGGACTCGAATATGTCTTGTGAAATATTTGTGTTTGATTAGTTGGTTTCGTTTTCTTTGTAATTTGTAATTGTGTCATATCAGTGATAGAAATATAATGGGAGTGACACGAGAGAAACATTTCTTGAAATAGATCTTGAGGTCTGAACAAAGTCTATATTTGCTGTATTATTTGATATCAGTAACTTATGAGCTATATAGATATATAAGATTTGGTTTGGTGATAGAAAATTATCACTTCTATAAATTGTGTATGAAATGTTTTTGCGTGTTAAAATTACGGGAACGGTGACGTCCCAAATCCTTACGGTTATGACTGACATTTTCTGGTAGCGAAAATCTGTAGTACCCGAAGTTATGCACAAGAATGTGTAATTAAGATTGTGTTATTAATTCTTTTTTTGACGATCTATATAAAGGAGAGTATAAATTGTAAATCCTTGTCGTGGTGGTGGGGCTCGAGTACCTCGGTGAACCCAAGAGCTATGCTGGCGGTAGCATAGCTACTGGTAGGGCTTCCCTAGCCAGATTGGTTGAGGGGGAGAGGTCAGACTAAGACAGGTACCCTGGTCCTCCAGCTTGGGGGTTGGTCGCAAGGCTAACAACCTTGCGCCGTAAAAAGAAAGATGTTTCGAAACCTTGATCAAAGCCTCGGACAGACGGACCTAACAGAGGACCGAATGGAAGAGGAGAATTGAGGAGGCCATGGATCGAATACGGACCGGAGAGCCATAGAAGAAGAAGATAAATTGTAAATTATTCCCAGAACTTGTTTTAAATCCCAGTACGAGTTTGATGGCCATGTACAAATTGGAACACTTTATGGAACCACAAATCAAACTTGTACGTCATGACCGTTTGATTCAGTGGCAGTGAGGATGATGATGATGTACTTCTAGGTTCTGGCGCCACGCAGACTCATCAGTAGATGCACAGCATTTTGGAGAAACATATTGAATCCATCTTCAGGGCTGAAGTGACAACACTGAAAAGTGAGTCACTTCACCCCTGAAGATGGAGACAGTCTGTTTTACCAAAATGTTGGCATCAACTGATGAGTCTGCGTGGCGCCAGAACCCAGAAGTACATCATCATCAAACATCAGTCTAGTTATTTTCCAGGTCTCGTTTTCTTAAGATTCTGTTTTTACGTGATTTTAATGTGTGTTTTTATATAAGAAATTAAATCTGACTTCACAGAACAAACATTAATTAGCACATTCAAATTAAGGTGTTCATGTGACTTTAAAGAACTCTTCCTGTGATGATTTTTATGACAAAAAGAGGAGTTTGTGGGAAAATCAAGTATTTGGTAATTCGAAGTGAACGGGTAATCATGTATGAATAATTGAATCAGCACTTAGAAACATTTCATAGCTTTAAATATATTCCAACACCTCTGCTTCTAGATTCAGTGTAACACTGGTTTATGTGCGTGCGCACCTTTCCACATTCACTCTTAGGCCTTCTTATGTCTACAACATATCAATGAGCTTCCAAAATACATGTTTATTTTCTAAAAAGAAAAATCTTGCTTTTATATATACTACCATTTAACTATGCTAAGTCACACATTTTTTCTTTTGAAAATTGACTTCTAAATTTACAAGTACAATTTAGTTCACTGAAAATTATAATAAGCAAAGTTTTCAGTTTTAAAGCTTTAAAAAGAAAAGAGTTGTAAATCTGAAGAACATGACGTTTACAGAAATAACACTGACTTCAACGACCCACAGTACATTTTATATATCCACAAGTCCAACTTTTGAATGTGAGGTATTTACAGAACATAAATGTAACAACTAATAATTACAGCACTGCCATGTTATCTACATCCTTTAATCCAATTTACATCAAAACATTAACGCAAAGTTATTGTCTTAGAGTGTTAATTGTAAGTCATGGCACCACACCTAATATTAATTTACCATCGGTAGCTAAGTAAAAATTTTCTAAATATAAAACAACTCATATCAGTAGTTTTCTGATAATTTTATTAATACACATTCTTAATCACACAAGTTCTATGAATTCTCTTCATTTCAAACAACGGCTACGCACTACACCTTCATTTTTCCATGTATAACACCTAATAGCATTAGATGTGAGAATACTGGACGCATGTTTTGTTGAAATTCGTCATCAGTAAAATATAATAAAAGAACGTAGATGCGCTTTACCTGATTTGTATGATTCTGTTTCTTTAGCGGCATTAACGAGTTGATCTTTGAGTGTCATATTTGCTTTGCGATAGGGACTGATTTTTAACATTTTAGATGAGCTGTGACTTAAGAGTGTTAACGTATTTGAAACAATTTTATCACACGAAGCAGTTTGGTTTGTCGTAATTAAAAACGTCACTGTAGTAATTGAACTTTACGTTGGTGTAGATAACGATGTTCTGGATTGCGGTACGATAGAGTCGTGACTGCCAACGTTTTTGGTGGGCACCTGCTGAAAACTAATTGCATTGAGACGGGTAGAACAGAGTCCTCCGAAACAATGGTAACCATTTATATGATTACATGGCGTCTCAACTCAGATCACCATCTAAATTTACACTTCAATGAAAATCTAAGTTCTTATTTAGTAGGATTTGAGGTTTTCATGGTGGCGAGTCCAAAGATGGATGTGTTTTGGGTTGTAGCGCCACGTAGTCAGGGCGATGATGGAGGTAGCGAGGACCTCTGAAACGCTGGCAAACTTCTACCGGACCACATGGTGCTACAACCCAGAGGACAGCTGTCTTTGATCTCAGTTCTTATATTCTTATATTAGTGTTCTTATGGTATCAAAATGGTTTTTAACAGAGAAAATTACAGTAATTCTTGATAAACTGAAACTGGATTTATAATCTGACTGAGGCGAAGGGTTGTGTGGCGAGGAATGGAATTATTCATTTAACAGAATGTAATGCTATGTTACTGCATGATTTTGTTTATTAGCCACAAACTTCAGTGCCGTCAGAGGCAAGATAGTGCCGGCCTTTGTTATGGCTTTGTCGGAATATGACGGTAAATTTCAGCACGTGCCGTGCGTTTTAGGGCATGGGCTGTGACAGACTTTAGGGTGCTTCTGAACCCACCTTAATGATCTGACTCGGAGTCTTCCATGTGGACAAACATACAGACAAATATACAGTGTTAAGTAATACAATTAAAGTGTTATACATGTTTCTTATTAAATTGAAGAGAGAGACATGTTAAACTAATATTTGATCTTTCAACATACAATTAATGTCCACATGAGTACATGCATTGCACATAATATAATGTTTGTTTACTCTATGATCATTTTATAAACCCCTATAAAGTACGACTAACCAGTTAAAATATCGGTAAACAAACTCAGTAGAACACACACTGAATAAAATTTAATTACTCTCGTATTCTTGATGATTTTATGTACAGATTGTGACTTTAGTAGGCCCTTCGGTATTGCTTATTATTTGGACTATGACGTGAAACAGCGTAGGAACCATCTGGTTATCCTCTGTCTTAATTGAATTATTTTATCCATGTCTGTATAAACCTCATATTTGAATGCCAGTTCAAGCAGTAAATCCTGAACTACAGTTGTGTAAATATTTTTGTGATTGAAGTGGGATTTGGTGCCGTTCCGCTTGCTTCTTTGGCAGACTGAGATTAGGATTTCTTACTGGTGGTACAGAATGAAACAAGCACTGTTATTAAGTTCAATAATATAAGAAACATTTTTTTAAATGAGATAAAGTAACAAAAATTGGCACTTTGACAGTGAACTTTGTGTGAAAAACATAAAATATTGTCTCCTCCCCCATTGCTCTCACATTTGACTTTTAGTGTCTTTCTTTCAGAAAAGAAAAAGTAATGTCTGAGGCACCCTGTACATTTTATTTAAGGTTTTGTTATTTGAGGCTGATATACAATGATCTAACTTGAACTTTCCCCCCACTTCAAACATTATATTTACCCCCTAATTAAAATGAACGGTGAAAAATGGGGTTTCTTCATACATGGCACATATGGATGGTTGTTATATTAGTTACAGAATAAAACATTAGGGAGTTACATGACTTAAGTTTACATTGATGGTTAATATAGTAATATTTATACAGTGGTATATTACAAAATTACAAATTGATGTGAGAGGTTTCTGTAATATTTTCCTGAAAGCAAAAATTAGTCATTTAAACTTTGCAAATGTATCATATATCATTTTATTATCTTTAATTTATCATCATCTCTGATATAAAAGAGTGCTCTTTGAAAGCCTTTCATTTATGAACGTTGCAACAATATCCAACATTGATGAAATGACACAGAAATAGCCCCATTTAATAAGAAAATAGGTTCGGAAACAAAATAATGAATACATTTTTAAGGATTATCATATTATTTTAAGTCACACGTTGCTGGATTTGCTTCCAGTACTACGATAATCCATTTATTATTGAAGGGTTTGAAAACAGATATAAACTTTAATTTC